TCGCTGAAGCAGGAGCTGAAGGAGCTACCTCAGCAAAAACCCAATTCAGCAGCAGCAGCAGCAACTTCCGTTGGACAACAGCAGCAACAGCAGCAGCAAATGGCCAAACTTGATACGGCTTCTCTTTCGACCGTTCCAAAGTCGAAAGAGAAGCAGGAAAATCTCGATCAAGTTGAGAAGTCTCTGCAGGGTTTTACGGTAAAGAAGCAAGAAGAAGCAGATAGCTGAACAACATCGACAGCTGAACAAAAAATAAGTGTACAATGCATCTCAATCTTATTTGTGAGTTTTTTTAACAGTTCGGAGAAAAATGATAACAATAAAAAGAGTTGAATTGTTGTTGTTGTAAGTCAATGCAATCACTTGTTGAGAAAAAACAAAACAAAACATTTGGCGTACTTTTTTTCCTACACTTTCCACACTGCAAACAAACTAAATGCGCTACTAACCATCATTAACCAAATTGTTGGCCTAGCAAACAAACGTGAGTGACCTGAAAGAGTAAGAAAGGCCGCTAAACGAGAATTTAAAAAATTATGTTCATCAGAACTTGGGGCAGAGCTCCATCGTCGAGTGGTGACCGCAGCTGAAAACGGAGAGAGGAAACGGGAGAGCTTATTTATCACAAAGTGTCCGCACTGGAAAAGGTCGTCTTCGAGGAGGAGGAGGAGTTTCAGGAGAAGTGTAAGTTCCACCACCACCACCACCACTACTTGCTGTTGAAGATTTTGCTGTACATGAGGCGCTCCTTGTTGTGGTAGGCGGTGATCTCGCCCTTCACCGCCACCAGCTCCGAGAGGATGTTCTTGTCGTTGGGCGCAAACTGCAGCGCCTTCTTCAGGTCGGCGACGCTCTTCTGGTACTCGCGGCGGCCGTGGTACGCCTGCCCTCGCCGGTACAGCGCCTTCGGGTGCTCCGGGACGATCTCCAGCGTCTCGTCCAGCACCTCAATGGCCTTGTCGTACAGCATCAGCTTCAGGTGGCAGGCGGCCCTGGAAACGAGAGAAATTGAATGTTAGAACCTAGGTGTAAACAAACAGTTTCTAAATTGTATTTACCGGTTAAGCATACAGGGCACCTCGAGGTCCAGTAGCTGCTGCTCCGTCTCCTTAGTGATCTCGCCGTCGTGCATTTTGTTCAGGTAGCGCTGGGCTTTCTCGTACTTGGCGTTGGCCGCCTGATAGCGGCCCGCCTTGAACAGGCTGTTGCCGGCGTTCTTGAGGAACTCGCCGATGGGGAAGACGGTGGCGAACTGACGGAGTGAGAAGGTAGGAAGGAATTTAGATGAAGGAATTAGATGAAGAAGAAGAAGAAGAGGAGGTCACCTACATTGCTGAAGTCCAGCTCGGCGTCCTCGGGGTAGAAGGGAAAGAGGTCGCCGGTGCCGTCGTCGGTCGCCAGCCCCAGCGGCTCGCCTGGGTTGATCTGCCCGCTGTCGATGATGACGACTTTCTGAAGTGATGATAAGGTTTAGTTGTAGATTATCTAAAAAGAAAGAGAGATCTCCCTACCTGAAGTGGCGCGTCATTGGCTCCGGTGACCAGGTGATCGATGCTCTCGACGACGCCCATTCCTATCCGGAAAGCCGATTGAGTTTCGAAATTAGGTTCGAAAAGCTGTCATCAAGTAAGTAAATTACCTTTGTACACGCGCCCAAAGACCACGTGAAGGCCGTCCAGGTGTGGACTACCAAAAAAACGGAAGTTAAAATTAAGAACTCCTAAAAACCCTCAAACAAAAGCACTTACCAGGGCGCCGTGGTAATGAAGAACTGACTTCCGTTGGTGTTCTTCCCTGCATTGGCCATGCTCAGCAGTCCCGGGCCGTCGTGCTTGATGCGGAAGCTCTCATCGTCGAAGCGCTCGCCGTAGATGCTCTCGCCGCCGGTGCCGTTGAAGTTGGTGAAGTCTCCGCCCTGGATCATGAAGTCCCGGATTACCCGGTGGATGGTGGAGCCCTTGTAGTGCAGCGGCTTCCCGCTGACCGGGCCGATGCCCTTCTCGCCGGTGCACAGGGCGCGGAAGTTCTCGCAGGTTCGAGGGGCCACCTGCGGAAAGAGCTCAAAGAGAATGCGACCGGCTGCAAATAGCGGAAAAAAGAGGTAAAGTTAGACATCTTTGAATTGATCTTATCAAGAAGGGCTTATCAAGAACTTAAGGTCTTACCCGGAAGGCCGTCGATGGCCATGTCGAAGAAGCAGAGCGTCTTGCCGCTGTTGTTGGTCATCATCTGCTGCATCGCCATGAAGGGATTCGCCAGCAGCTGCGGCTGCTGCTGCTGTTCCATCATCTTGAAGCAGGTGCAATTATCCTAATCCTCGGAAGTATTTTTGGGTCGATGTCAATGTGGTGATAATAGTGGTGAGGGCGATGACCAGAGGATGATGTGCACTCCAAAAGTCACAGAGAGGGAATCCTCTCTCCAAAAAAAAATCCTCAAAAAATCTCCACCGATTCGACTATTTTCACTCCACCCGCTGCACTCACCCTCTGTCACTTTTTGTTGAGGAGCGTCACTTCGCTCGCTCACTTTTTTTGCTCTCACTTCTCGGCAGATCACTTCTTCTTCTCCGGCCACCGCCGTCGGCACTTTCCGAGGAGGACAGTTTGGGCAAAATAGAAATAGAAAAAAACTTGATTTATTTGTTGTGTCCTGTCTCTGTCTGCCTTCCTTTCCTACTGCTGTACAGA